GAGAGAGAGAGAGAGAGAGAGAGAGAGAGAGAGAGAGAGAGAGAGAGAGAGAGAGAGAGACAAGAGAGAGAGACTCTGTGTGTTCAGTGTTCACTGCTTTCTATCATTCTTAGTTTGGCAAAGGACCGACCGAGATACCTGCCTGTATGAAAAATTCACGAGGTACATATCTGTAAATATAGAACTATGGGCCCAGTACCAACTTCATTTTCCCTACAGGCTACAGGCTACTGCTACCCAAACTGCGAATAGCAGACCCGGGCTACCCCTAGAACAGATAGGCCCCACGGGCCTATGCTGATAGACGGTCCTATAGCCTATAGCCGTGTAGGGTTAGGCCTTAGAGGCCAAAACTGGTTAGTCAATCTGGTCTAGGTTGGTGTAGGCTATATGTACATTATAGATAGGATGTGGACACGAGAGGTCTGGGCTATCAGAGATCTGATGCGTTGGAGTACGTACTGTACTGCTGAGTCAGTGCTAACCCTCCTCAGGAGTTGGGTCCCAGRCTCCCGGACTCCCAGTGGCGATCTAGCCATAGTTGCATTTTCTCAGAGATTATCATTGTCTGGACTTTATCTTCATCAGGTACTGTTGGCGGTGAGCTTCTACGTCATCATCTGAGTGGCGATCGCCGATTGGCTATGGGAGCCTATTTCAGTTTCGCGCAGGCCACTGAGTCAGATGTAAGGGGCCTAAGGGCGGCGCTGGGCCGCTGGCCCACTGGGTGTTACCTGGGGTCGTGGGGAGGCTGGGGTTTCGTAACTTTCGTTGCTGTTTTTAGTTGTTCGGGGTGTTGGGGTTGAGGCGCTACACCTTTCAGGGTAGCACAACAGGGTTCTGAACTTATGAGGTTATTTTAGTTGTACGATGCTCTGAGTTCAATAAACAGTGTTAATACTGTGTTTGAGTTGTCATCTCTCCATTGCTTTCTGGTTGTGAATCTTGTGAGTCAGTGTTGCGACCACTCTGTTGTTATCTATGAATGATTGTTGTGGAGAGAAATCACTGAATTATGTATTCTGTCACTTCGCTTCTCTGAGTCTTCCGTTGAGTTTCTTCTTCTGGGCGGTGGGAGTCGTGGGACACTCCAGTACCTCTCCCCCTTTTTCTGTGCATGTATGGGCGTGTACAAGAGTTCTGGTGAGTGAGTGTTGGCCAAAGTTCAACAGACGGTCATGTTCATAGCATGTGTGTGTGTGTGCGTGTGTGTGTGTGTGTGTCTGTGTGTGTGTGTGTGACGGCGTGTGTGTGTGTGTGTGTGTGTGGGTTTGTGCGTTTTTTTCTTTTCTTTTCCTTTTTT